CAACAGAGTGGTGTAATCAGGTTTGTTTAAACTTGATCATTATTTCTTATTATTAAACATATCTTCAAATCCCTTTGAGTATTTTTAGATATAACCTTAGCTCTTTTCTTTAAAAAAAAAAACTAGTTCTAAAATCTTTTTTTAAAAGAAAAAATGACATCATCTGAAACTACCGATAACGTTCCAACATGTTCATCCTGCACATCCTTAAAATCTCAAAACGAGTTTAAAGATATCCTGATTTTCAAATATCACAAAATTTCTCAGGCTCAAGATGAACTTATCCAAGCTCAAAGAAATTTAATCAAAGATTTGTTAAAAAATCGAAGTACTAATCTTGACTTTAGTTATACTACGCCTATGATTGGTGAATTAGATTATTATAATGAAATTAACTATATTAAATCTTTGAGCTGTGATATTCAAAGTTTGTTTTCTAAAGAACAAATATTTTTTGCATTTAGCAGTTTGTTCTATTAGTTTCAAGATTGATAGTTTTTTAACACATCAGGGAAGACAACGCCCTCAAGCATCCGGTTCAAACGATTGGTGTAGAGTTTATATCGGTGCTGTTACAGATGATATAGATGAAATGACTTTACAGCAATGCCTTGAACGTGCTTTCGGACAAGTTTCTTGGCTAGAAATTGTCCGTGCTAGGGTATGAATTAGTAATAACTAGATCCATGGATCTCTTTTAGAATAGATATCACACCAGGTAACAGAATATTTATATTATATATTAATCAACTTGATGTATAATCATGCGACATTTAGGGGTTACCTATTCTAAAAGAGATCCAACTCTCCTTTTACAAATCATGAGCGCATCAAAATTATTTTTGTGCCAAAGATTTTGTTTGAGTCATTTTTATCAATTGTTTATAAATAGAATTGTGCATTTGCGGATTTTTGGTATGCGGAATCATTTCATCGTGCTCTTGAACAAGGATATGTTTACTTGACAAATGGCTCACGCGCAAAAGTCAAAATGGCCACCAAGCCCGTCAAAAGATTTAATGGATGCAAATAATATGTTGTTGTTCTTTTGATATGCGAACA